TGGAACCTCGATAACTCGAACCTCAAGGAAAGGGAAAATATCTTCGAGTTACAAGAGATCATTAGCTTGATCCAATTTTTACTGTTTCAATTGCCAATGTTAGTGTTTTCCGCCTGCCTTTAGACTTCATTTTGCTACATACACTACCGGCCAAAAGTTTGGAATCACCTGCCAATTTACATTAACACTGAATCTGCTACTAATTTTGTATTAATTTGAAATTTGATGCTGTGGAGATCAATAGCACTTCACCTCATTTCGATTGATTTGAATGATAAAAAATTCGTTGAAAAATTATTATAAATGCTACCTTTTTTAGGGGGAATTTTTGTGCAACTTGCAATGCAACTTGCATTCCAAACATTCCAAAAGAATGAGAAACTATAGAACTGTGCTTGAACCTATTCCTTCGATGTTTCACAGCAAACTGCTTTTGTGATCAAACCGCGTGCACTGTTCATATAAAGAAATAAACAATCGACGATCCTTGAACCGTTGGTCCTATTGTAAACAGAAATTAACTTCGACATGCAGAGATCTTCTGAATTCGACAAATAATGCGAGTTAACGGAAGCTTCATTTCGAGTTATAGAGAAAGAAACGTTTTCCCAGAAAAAGTACAGATTTCCCAGTTATCGGCGTTCCACTGTACGAAAATCATCGGAGCCGATAGAATTTCGCGACAACCTCGAATTGTCAAACGTGTTCGCAGTCAATCGAAACAAGCTGCTCGACCTATCCGCGGCGCGATTGCAAGGCGACTCCCCTTCTGACTCTCGCGAGTGAGGAAGGGGAGAAAAGGAAGGTCTGAAAGGAGGGAAGAAGGCTTGTGCAAACAGAGAAGCCAGTTTTCGCGCTGCACGCTGCGCCGCGTCTGCACCTCCCCAAGATCCATCACCTTGGTCCACCTCTTCCACCTTTTTCCACCTCCTTCTGGCTCTCGTTGCTGCCGTTACTACTGCTGCTTTGCCTGCTGCACCTTTTCCTTCCGTTACTTACATCTACCTCCTCTCTCTCTCTCTCGGCACTTTACTCCCGACAACAATCTTCTCTTGACCAACGATTACTCAAGCTCCGCTCGCGAGGCGAACCGTCTCGGCTGCACGAGGGTTTCAGATACTGTGAGAGCGTCCTTGAAGTCTTGAATTCTAACTGCCGACCGGGCAAGTGGCTTCGTGAATTCCTCATGTGTCGGCGGGCCCGGGAGATAATTAGCTTCGTGTGGAAAATTGTTTCCTTTGCATACTTCTCGCTAATTAGTTACCGCGGCTTTTGAGGATCTGTTTCACGGCGTTATCGCCGCCGTTACTTTATATGTTAGAAATTTGAGTCGGCTAATTTACGGGGTAATCGATATTTCTCCGGTGCGCCCCCCTATCGTATCGAAGGGAACCGGTAGAACTATGCCGCCGCGATGAATATTTATTCTCGTTTTCGATCTTTGCGCGGATGAAAACGTGGAAGGGTTTTCGTGGCGGAGAAATTGACAGATGATGGAATCATGAATATGGTATTTCGGTGAAACAAT